CGCCCGCCCGCCCGGCACCGCCCCGCACGGCTCGGCTCGGTCCGGGCATGGTCCGGGCACGGCACGGCTCGGCTCGGTCCGGGTAGGGCACAGACAGGGCACGGCCCGGCTCGGTCCGGGTAGGGCATAGGCAGGGCACGGTCCGGGCACAGCACCGCCCCGCACGGCCCGGCTCGGTCCGGGCATGGTCCGGGCATGGTCCGGGCACGGTCCGGGCACGGCACGGCCCGGCTCGGTCCGGGCACAGCACAGGCAGGGCACGGCCCGGCTCGGTCCGGGCATGGTCCGGGCAGGGCACGGCTCGGCTCGGTCTGGGCATGGCACAGGCAGGGCACGGTCTGGGCATGGCACAGACAGGGCATGGCCCGGCTCGGTCCGGGCACGGCACAAACAGGGCACGGTCCGGGCACGGCACCGCTCCGCAAGGCCCGGCTAGGACAGGGCATAGTCCGAGCAATGGCACAGACAGGGCACGGCCCGGCTCGGTCCGGGTAGGGCACAGACAAGACACGGCCTGCCCAGACTGTCACGGCTCATCCCGGGCACGGTTCAGCCTGGGCACAGCTCTGCCTTGGCACAGCACGGTTCCTTCTGGGTACGGCCCGGCACTGCCCAGCCGGGTCAAGGTCCGCCCTGACCGCACTGCTCAGCTCGGGTACGCTCTGCCCAGTCGTCCTGGCACGGCTCAGCCCGGGTACGGCCCCGGCGGGGCAGATCCCGGCCCCGTTCTGCCCATCCCGGTGCACCGGCTCATGGCCCAGCCCGGCTCGGTTCGGCCCCGCCGCGGAGCCAGCCGGGGGATCCCAACCCGAGCCCAGGAAAGCAAATCCCGGCCCAGCCGGTGTCCGCTGGGACGCCGCATCCTCCCCACGGCGGCAGCCTCTGGAAAACCGATCCCGAATGGAATGGGGACATCTAGGGGACACCCGGCGGTGCAGCCCGGAGCCATCGGGCTGGCCCCGCACACACCTGTGGCTCTGATTCTTAAGTTTTTCTAAAGCCTTCTGAGTTTACATTCTGTTAGAAAACTTTCCCACACAATTTCTGTAAATAACATATTGTTTTACATTCTTTCATAGGAGTAAAGAAACTTAATGTACCAGTAGTTTGTCCAGTGTCTTTAAAAAAATAACCCATTCACTCTCCAATCCACTGTCACCTTTAAAAAAGTATAAAAGTTGAAGTAAAAAAATAAACTTCCTCTTTTACCTTACACAATAACAAGTAGCTCGCGTTATATTTTGTCGTATCCTATAGGAACACATACCCGCACCGTGCGGGTTCTGCCCCAAATCCACGTCCCAGCGCTCAGCCCGGGCCACAGGAAAAAGTTTGGGTTTTTTTGTTTTATTTTTTTTTTCCCTCCAGTGGTGGGGCGGGAAAGAAGATGGGAGAAAACAGGAGGAGAAGACAGGCAGACAGCCATGAGCACCTTCACATTTTCTCTGGGCAGAAATCACACCTGGCTCTCTCATAAATCATCTTATTAATGCTGTCCATGAATTCTGAGCAGCATCTCTTGTCTGTTCCAGGGTATTAATTGCCTGTGCAGCCTGACTGGGAGCAGTGGGCATTTCAAATGAAATAAATCCTGCTAATTATTGCTCCCAGCTTCGTGCAGGCAGTGCCTGAGAGCTCCCTGCTCTCCTCAGGGGAAGTTTTATTGCTTTCTCCAGGATGGGACTGACCTGAAAATAGGGATCAGATCCTGCTGCTCGTCCACCCACTGGGCTGGAATGCTGTGGGGAGGGAGAGGGGTGGGAAAAGCAGGATTACCCCTAAAGCTCAGCTCTGATGTTGGGCATGACCTGCAGCTCTGCTCTGGCCCAGGATCAACACTGGGGGTGTCCCCAGTGGGATCTGGGGAGGAGGGGGAGAAGCCAACCATGGACATGGGAGGGATGGGAAAGGAACTCTCCAAGGAGGAGCTGGAGCTGCTGCAGAGAGCCCAGAGGAGCTCCAGGGGATCAGAGGGATGGAGCAGCTCTGCTGGGAGAGCTGGGATTGTTCACCTGGAGAGGAGAAACTTGGGGGTGACACAACTGTGACCTTCCTGAGGGAGCTGCAGGAAAGATGGAGAGAGAGAATTCACAAGAGCCTGCAGTGACAGGATACTGGAATGGCTTCCCACTGCCAGAAAGGAGATTTAGATGGGATATGGGGAAGGAATCCTTCCCTGTGAGGGTGGGCAGGCCCTGGCACAGGGTGCCCAGAGCAGCTGTGGCTGCCCCTGGATCGCTGGCAGTGCCCAAGGCCAGGTTGGAGCAGCCTGGGGCAGTGGGAGGTGTCCCTGCCCATGGCAGGGGTGGCACTGGGTGAGCTTTAAGGTCCCTTCCAAAAACCCATTCCATGGCTCTGGCAGCAGCTTTGGAGCCTGGCCGCTCTCCCAGCACACCCCAAAGGCGGCAGCAGCAGCAGCAGCAGCAGCAGTATTCTGGCATTTCCTGCAGCTGGGAGAAGCAGGAGGTCCCATTTATTGTCTGGGTGGGAGCACTGCTTGCTGTTCCCCGTGCCCTTCCCAGGCAGGAAATCAGTTTTATGGTCTGTCCCTGAACCTTTCTGCATCTCCACCTGCTGCAGGGCACAAGGAGCTGAGGGAGATCAACTCCCCTGCTGCTCCTCTCTGCTGCCAGGGCCCTGGGTTATTGTTTTTATGGAGAATTCTCCTCTTTGCCCACCAGAGTCTCCTCTTCAGTTATTTGAGGTTTATATTTTCAGTGTTATTTCTATTTTCAGTTGGAGGAGGCTCAGCCCTGCAGGGACCAAACACCCCATCTGTCAGAGCCCAGGACACCCCTCTGGCTGCCCTGGCTGCCTCCAGACCCTGCCAGGGGCTCGGGGACCTTGGGAAGAAGTCAAAAACACCCATGGCTTCAATTCTAACACTTGCAATTCCTATGTGAGGAATTACAACCCAAAAGGGTTTGAGCAGTGTGATATTTGAATTACCATAGGGTGGAAAACTAGAAATTTTGGGATTTTTAGGATGGGGTTCAGGGGTTACAAGATGGAGGGATTTGGGCGTGTCCTGACCTTCTTCCCCTTCTTCTTGTCCTCCACGTCTTGCTGTGATGGTGACACTTTTCTGTTGGTTTAAGGTAGAGACACACTGTCCAACTTAAGTGATAGTTATTGGCACATTATTGTAAATATAACATATGTAATTTGTGATATAAAATGTAGATGCCACCTGGCAGGACAGGCAGACTGCCATGGCTTCTGCACTAGACAGACCTCAACAGGTCAGAGAAAGAATATTGTAGATAAATAAAAATAAACAACCTTGAAACCTCGATCTTACACAGTCCAGACTTCTTTGGCTGCATGGGCTGGGAAATGAGGATTTTTCCACTCTTGGGGCCAGCCCAGCACTGAGACCCCAACACCATCCTCTGGGCACTTTTCAGCCCTCCCAGGATTTCCTGGACGAGGCTTTCCAGCCCCAAATGCTGTTGATGCCCCCTGGTTCAAAGGCCACTTCCACAGGGGCATGTCCCAGCCGTGGGGGCTCCTCTGGGCACAATCCAGATGTTGTGAATCACTCCAACATCTGCACCGCATCTCCAGGGGCAGAGCAGCAGCCAGGGAGGAGCTCTGGGAGCGGGAATGTTCGGGATGAGCCCCAGGCAATCAGCTGGAATTGATTTCTCCTGAGTCAGTCAGGAAACTCTTTTGGAGAAGGAGAGCCCGAATTTGAGGTCTTTCTCTGGAATAACTCCTCACTTTGTGAGGGGGGATCTACCTCCTCTCTAAAATTACCAGCTGAGCATCCTGGGATTTTATGGAATGGCTGCATCATTTATAATTTTCTTTAATTGATCCGTATTCCCTTAAAAAAGGAATTTAAGGGAAAAAGGTTTTTAAGGAAATATGGACCAATTAAGAAAATTATAAATTTTCTTTACAAGAAAATTGTAAAGGTGCAAAGCCTTTACACCTTGTATTTTGTGAGTATCTATTTAAAAAGGGGATATTGATAAATTAAAGACACTATATGTACACACTTCCATATAAACAAAATAAAAATTATGTCTCTTACATCTGTAAAGGGAAAATTTCCAGGAAAATCACACCCTTGATTGTTTGTAACTCACATCCCAAATTCTACAGTGAAATCACCCTAATTTCTTGAATTTTATTTAAAAAAATTGAAATATTTAGCTGTGGCCTACAGAGAATTATTCCTACTCCTCCGATACCTCTGGTAGTTAATCAAGACTATAAAAGTGCTGCCCTGAATTAAGACAAAGTGTCAGGAAATGTAATTACAGGCCAATTACCCAGATCCATTATTTTTGTTCAGCAAGGAGCTGATCCCCAGAGCCAGGCACATCTCCGGGCTCTGCATTCTGCACGGATTTCACACCTTCCCTGCAAGAGAAAACATTGTCACACACCCAAATTCACATTACAACGTGTCCCTTAGGGGCATCAGAGGTAATGGAGGAATTGGAGAATTGCAGCTCCCAGCCAAAAGCCCCACTGAAGAAATTTCAGGAGGAAAAAGAACACTGAGTGAATTTCTCAAGCCGTGGCATGGCCAGGATTATTCTTACTTTTTAATGCAGGGGGAAAAAAATGTTTAATTTTTTTGTTTTGTTATAAATACAGGGAATTTGCACAGCGTTTCCGCTGGAAATTCAGGGTGGTTTGCTCTCAGCAGTAAAAGATCTTCCCTAAGATAAGAAATAATTTATTAGCCTGGAGACAACCTGTGAGGTGTTAATAAAGTACAAGATAAAAACCCATAAAGCAGTTTGGAATCAAAGCAGGATAAAATCAGAATTCTGGAATTCTTCCCTGAGCAGTGAGGGGGAAAATATTAAAAAGCTTGTTTAACACAAATATTTGATTCTAAAAGTGTTCCTAGAAGTTATAGGGGAAAGAAACAGCCCCATGCCTGGAATTTCCCCATCCTGGGGGTTTCCTGGGGCAATCCCAAATCCAGCACAAGGACCGGGAACGCCAATCCCACAGCACAAACGCGCACACGCCAGGGCTTTTACCATAAAAATGAAGGTATTTATTCAAGAAGTACAAATTTGATGGTACCAGCCATCTTTGAAAGCCATTCCCGTGAGGCAGAGAGGACACGGAGCCGAGTCCCTTGCTCAAAGTGTCACCAAGTGCCACCAGGTGTCCCCCGGTGCCACCACCGCAGTCCTGGCCAGCTGTTGCTCAAATCCACCTCTTTTGAAACATTCCCTGGACTTGAGAGGCACAAATAAGGGTTTTAAGCCAAGACCAGTTTGTTGTTTTAATAAAGCCACCAGCTCCAATTCCTTTTATTGTCCACTGCCTGCAATTGTCTGCAGCTTTTGGAGCGGATTCCGATTTCCCAACGGAAGGAAAAAAAAAAGGGATCTGGGAGGGAGCAGGTGCAGGATTTTCTGGAGCTCAAGATGAACGAGAGGTTTTAAGGCAGGGGTCAGGATTTGAAGTTTTCTCTTTGCCCTGTGGCTCTGAGTGGTCTTCATGTGGAAAATGTCAAATCCAGAGTTCCCCCGGGGCCGACCCCGCGAGCGCGGCCCTGCTCGGAGGGTCAGGAGGAGTTTTCCATGGAAAATCCAGCAGACACGTTGGGTAAAAGTCTCAAAAGTCCACTTGAAGGAGCCTTTTGGTTAAAATATCTCATTTTCCAGCTGCCTGCCCGGTGTAGGCTCAGTGAAGTGTCTCCCTGGGGAAGGAGAGCTCCAACTCCATCCCAACGGAGGATCCAGCGGGTGGAATTCGGGAGAGGAGAGGCACCCACAGCAATCCCAAACAATTCCTGGGCAGGGAAACCTTGGAGCAGCTTTGTGCATCCAAACCACCACAGGGTGTTTGTGGCTGCAGAGGGAACAGCAGGACATTCATCATTTGGGGAGGAAACAGGAATGTGGATGCTGGGAAATGCAACCCCGAGGCTTCCCAAGGCAGCCACGACGTCCAGAGGGTTTGGAGCAGGGTTTGCTGTTTTCCAGGGAAGCTGCAGCGTGGACAGAGCTCATCCCCACAGCCAAGGCAGGGGTTTTATTTTTAAAAACACCTTTCTCAAGCACCTCTAATCCCACTCCCAGAAAAGTCCAAGCTGTCCCAGAGCTTCCAGCCACAATCCAGGAGGGATTTGATTGCAGGGAAGGGCAAAAAAACCAAAACCAACCAAAAAACCATCAAAAAGCCCCTTTTCCTAACAGAGACTACTTTCATTTCAAAGTAACAGGATCTGAGCAGCACAGGGCAAAAGCCAAAAAAAGAAAAAAAAATTCCTTTTTTTTTTTTTTTTTAAATGTAAACATTCTCTGCATAAGGTGCAGGGTCTCGGATGTCTGTACAAGAACATGGAAAAGTTTGGAAAAGAGAGCTCCAGAACCAGAAATGCAGCTGCCCCTTCCATTTCTGAAGCATCACAGACATGGAGAAACGTTCAGCATTCACTTTGTCAACACCTACACAGCAAAAATGCTTCCAGAACTCCATGGCTAAAAGCATCCCACCATTGTAACAAAGAGTATTTTTGTATTTTTAATACTTTCAAAAAAAAAAATTTACATTATTTACTAGCAATGGATATATATGCAGAAGCACATCACACTACAGCAATATTTTATCAAGTTATCATTGACCTTCACCAAACATTATGCACAGTTGCTCCAAAGATTCCCTCTTTCCTCTCCTCCCCAAACTTTCTGTGGAAGGCAAAGAAAAGCTGGGGTTGGTTTGGTTGCTCTGGGGCTGAGGATTTTTGGTGTTGTTACACCCCAAATTTAAGGTGTCTATTAAAAACCCAACTTATCACACCACCAATTCATTTTCCAAAACACTCCCCAGCTCCAGAGAAGCGAAGGCTTTCAGAAAATGAATCCCAAGCTGTGTTTTGTGTGGAGGACCCCAAAACCTGCGATGCACCGAGGCAGGCAGGGACATTTGGGGGGCTCTGAAGGAGCAGCTGTCACTGGGGTGGGGAAGAAGACCCTGAGCATCCTTCTGCAGTGCCCCAAATGCACCTGCAGCACACCTGGGGCTATTTTTGGGGCTCCCTGGCCCTGGCAGGCTCAGGTGTTTGTGCCTCTCTGCCCTTCGAGCTCTTCAGGAGTGTGACTTTCATCAGGTCATCACTTCTGGCTCGGGCTGAAGTGGCAAGAAAGAGTAGAAAAATCTGAGCTGTGTCAGAGCAAACAGAGCTGCCACTGACAGGGTAAAAAAGGCTCTCCTGGTATCAGTTCCCAGCCAGAGCTGAGCAGGAATGGCACAGAGGGCTGAGGGGGGAAATTTAAAAATCTCAAATTGATTCCTCCTTGCTGGTGTTGTGTGCGTTAAAATTCTGTTACAGCACCCCAAGGGCAAAACCCAGCCAGGACATGCTGCCAGCACCCTCCTGCTGCAATCCTGGGGTTCTCCATCCCCTCCTGGGGTTCTCCATCCCATCCTGGGGTTCTCCATCCCCTCCTGAGGTTCTCCATCCCCTCCTGAGGTTCTCCATCCCATCCTGGGGTTTTCCAGCCCATCCTGTGGTTCTCCATCCCCTCCTGAGGTTCTCCATCCCCTCCTGAGGTTCTCCATCCCCTCCTGAGGTTCTCCATCCCCTCCTGGGGTTCTCCATCCCCTCCTGGGGTTCTCTATCCCCTCCTGGGGTTCTCCATCTCTCCCCAGCAGCCACCAGCCCCCACAGGAGAGCCCCTGATCGGTGCCACTTCAGCCACCAAAATCAATTTTCCCTCTCTCAAGGGATGCCCCCTCTGCCCCAAAACTCATCCCATACTCTCAGCCTTCTCCCCTGCACTGGAATCTGCACCAAACCCCAATTTTTAGGGCAAACTCCATCATTTGAGACACAAATGTGTCTCTGTTATGTCACAATTTCCAGTTCTATACCTGGCCCTGTCAGCCATGTGCCTTTGCAGCTTGTTGCTGAGATTTTTAACAGCTATTTTGAGATTTAAAGTTCTTTCCTAATAGAAACCTTGTAAAATTGTGTTTCTGCAGGGTGTGTGCTCAGTAGTGCTGTCACTTTATACAGAGAGGGTCAAACTCTTCACTGTCACCTCTAAAAGCATTTTACCATTGAATTCTTTCAGGTTTTGATATGTGATGAAGGAGGGGGAGGCTGTTAAAGAGAATTTTCATGAACAAAGTCTCTGTTCTACTCAGAACTCCCTCACAACACAGCCCTCAGAGCTTCACCTTTCCTCCCTGCCATAAAAGCAATTAATATAAATCATGATCATGTGGAACAGTGTCATGAAATTAAGCCTCAGAGGGGGCAGAGCAATCCCAGCCCCAACATCTCAAAACCAGCACCTGGCGACAAATTGCCTGAATGAAAATAGAAATAATAATAACAATAATAATAATAATAATAAAAGGATCCTACAAAAATAAAAAAGTGGTGTTTTAGTGTTCACAGCTCCAGGTTTGCTCCTCCTTAATCCATCAGAATTTTCCCCCCTTTCCAGGAGGGACTGCAGGGAAATGACCCCATAAAGAGCATTTATCCAGACATATAAATTATGCCTTTTAAGACAAGTAGTGTCTTCCTGGCATGATCCCATCTTTTGCCCAGAGAAAACCCAAGAGAGATTTTTTTTTGACTTGTTTATGTAGCAAATATTTCCCCCTCCCCTGGAATGCAAAAGATTTGGCTGCAAAAAAACCCTCAAGTACGGTAAATCAAATTTGCTTGAAAAAAACTCCACAATAGAAAACTTGTTCTAGGTTAGTACTGATCAACTCACTTTCACCTTTAAAAATAAAGGAAAAAAAAAGAAGAAAAAAGGAAAGCAAAGCAAGTCACTTTGGTGATTATGAGAACAGGGAACTCATTTTCCTTTCTACAGCTCTGCCACTGCATTTCAGGCACCCTGTACCAAGTGGGGCCAGTGGAGCTGTCAGAAACCCTCAGGTTTGGTACAAAATGAGGACCAAAAAAAGCTGTAGTTGGGTGGGGTGGGGTGGGAAATGCAAACAAAACGTGGCTCTGTTTCCCAACCATCAGTGAAATTCTGCTTCCACCTGCTGGGATGTCCCTGATCATCCTGACTCTGGCACAAGCACTCTGCGAGCCATAAATTTGATTTCTATGGAATTACTGAAGGAGCAGAAGTTTAAAATTGTCAAGGGTTTCACTTAATTCACAGAGGGAAGACAGAAACCAGGATTAAAAAACCAAAAATCATTAAGAGCACGTTTAACTTTGGAAGAAGTGATTTCAACGATGGCTTAAACCCCAATCAAACAGAAATGATTAATGATGATTAAAAGAGCAGGGCCTTGATCTCCAGCAAAGGCAGGGGTGCAGAGCAGCCACAGGGCAGCTCCAGTGGGGGAACCAAGTGCATCCCCCAACCCCAGCAGGGTCTGTGAGACTACAAAAGGATTTGTCATCTGCTGCAGGGCCCCTGGGACATTCTGGAGGGCCAGCAAGGGCCCAGCTCTGTGCTGGTGAGGCCACCCCAGCTGTGCTGGAGTCACCAGAGCTGCAAGGCTGTGCCACCCCAAAGGCTGGCAGCCGTGTGCTGCTGCATCCTCAGCATCTCTGGGCTCTCCCAGTGCCACCCCAAAGGCTGGCAGCCGTGTGCTGCTGCATCCTCAGCCTCTCTGCCCGTGCAGGGCAGCACGGGGAGCTGGGATCCATCACACCTGGCAGCACCTGCAGAGTCACCTGGGGCTGTGGCACACAGGGGCTGCACTCACAGAGCAGCACTCAGCTGAGCACAGCCTCTGTGGTCTGAGGGACAGCGATTCAGCAGGCACAGAGGCAGGAGCTGAGGCTGAGGCTGTGTTGGAGCAGGTAAATTACAGTACAGAGCAGCCAGGGCTGAGTTATTGCCTGAGGCAGTGGCACAGGACTGCACTGCCACCTCGGAATGTACAATTGCTCAGGCTGAGCATCACCAGGAGCTGCCAGAGAGCAAAGCCCAGCCCAGCTCCGCTGCCCAGGGCTGGCTGAGCCTCATCAGAGCCCGGGCACACCCGGAGGGATCTCCGTGAGCACCGGGCTCCTTCCTGCAGGAACTGCATACACTGATTCCGTTTCAAGTTGGTTTTTTAAATAAAAGTGCTCTCTGCTGCTCCGGCCTCGTGGATCGGGACACCACTGACAGTTCCAGGACCATCACATGTCTGTATTAAGTGAAGAACAATCTCTTCCCTCCCTCTTTTCCCTTTCTTTGCCCTTGCCCTGTTCCTCTTGCTGTGCTCAATACGAGATCAGGCAAACCCCAGAGGCCAGGTTACGGTTTTACGTTTTTGCAGATCTCCATCACAGATGGAATTTTTTTGCTGGTCATTCCTTGCAACCCATCCATGAGCAGGACAACCCCAAAAAAGAAGAGAGGGCAGCGAAAACAAACCCCACAACAGAGAGGCAGGAGAGAAGAACCAACAAACGAGCAGAAATCAGTTTTCCACCGGGGTGGGATTTGCTAAGGGCTGGCTCACGATGACTTGCACCACGTAGTCCTTTGGGATTTTCAACTCCTCCAGTTTCATTTTGTCTGCCAGGGGTCTCCCAGAGAAGAACCAGCGCTGGCTGCCCGGTTCCACCCCCTCCACGGCGTGCAGCCGCCGCTTCATGTGGTACACGCTGTCCATGCTGCGCACCTGCAGCTTCAGGTCTTTGCCCGTGGACAGGCGCAGGCGCAGCTGGCACTCGTGCCCCGAGTTGGGAGGGGGGTCAGGGATATCCAGAGTCTCCAGGTCCCCCTTCTCCTCGATCATGTTGATGGGTGGGGCCAGGCAGTAGACGGGGAGCTGGTAGCGGTTGCCCAGTTCATCGTAACACTCCGTAAGAGCACCTTGAGGAGAGAAAAGGGGCAAAGTCAGTGGGAATTTGTGGCAAGCACATTTCTCTCCCTCTCAGGATTTTTCATAGAGGTGCACAGAGAGAAATGAAAGAGAAAACAATTTCTATTTCTGCTCCTTGTTTTTCCCATGTGGAATGTGTTTGGAGAATTGTTTACCTGGGGTGATGCTTGGTTGGGTTCTGGCGAGGATTGGCCACCAATCTTGGTTGATTGGTGGCCAATCCAACCCAACCCAATCCAACCCAATCCAACCCAATCCAATCCAATCCAATCCAACCCATCCCAATCCAATCCAATCCAATCCAATCCAACCCACCTGGGGCTGGGCTCTCAGAGAGGGTCACCAGTTGTGTTAGAGATAGAGTCAGAGAAAGTAGTTTGTAGTTTTAGTATCCTCCTTTTATATAGCATATTAATATATTTTAGCATAGTTATAATAAAGAAATCATTCAGCATTCTGAATTGAGTCAGACATTGTCATCTCTTCCCATTGGGTTCGCCTGCATTTACAATAGGAATTTGTCTTCACAGAGAGCAGCAGGCACAACTTTCCCAGGCTTTGTGCTGGGGAAGAGAAAAGAATGATAAACAATTCTTATCTTCCCTTACTACACCTGTAACTGTACAGATGTAGAATGTGTTATAGAGATTTGGTCACCAAAGGGTGATTTCTTAATTAGCCACTAGTGATAGTGTTTAGATTCATTTGACCAATCTGGTAAAAGCCTTGCTGGCAAGGGCTGTAAGTTTTTATTAATATAGTATAATATAATATAATAAAAGCAATTAATCAGCCTTCTAGAATCATAGTCAATGCTAATTATTACCCAGCAGGGACCCTTACTACAACAGGAATTCCTGGCACATTTCACACTGGAGTGGCCACTCTGGGAAGTTTTACCCTGCTCTTTTACCCTTTACCTTCTTTTACCCTGCTCTTCAACCACCCAAGAGGGGAGGTTGGAATTGAGGCTTTAAAAGGACCAGACAAAAATCATCAATGCCCCACCTTGTTTGCATAAGGAAGCTCAGGGGTTGGGATAAAAGCAAACACCCCCTGAAAGCCAAACACCCAGAGAAACCAGGATAAAATCCCAAAGCAGGGGGAGGGATGAGGATGTGCTCCCCTGTGTCATTTCAAGGAGGAATCTTTCAGCAGCAGCATGGCCAAAGCTCAGGACACACAAATGCCACCTGGAGCAATTCCACCAGGCTGAGCCCGAGCTGTGAAAACGCAGTGAAAGGAGGATTTTGTAACTCCTAAAACGTCCCCAAATTGCTGGAATGGTTTTTCCAGGCCTGGTGTTTTAGTGAGCACTGCCAGGACAAACAAACACGGCCACCCAAGTCCGAGGCTCCATCACCACCACAGCAACAACACCCAGCACGGATTTTGGATTTCCACAGCATCTCTGAGTCCCACATTCAAAGCCCTGGAGTGTCAGGAGGGATTTTTATTTCCCTAAACTCCCTTGGGATCATCTGGATAACCTGGGTGCTCAGGAATTCTACCACGTGCTGAAGTATGAAATACAGGCTGAGTTTTTCACAGTGTAACTTTATAAAACGGATTTTACTTTCTAAAATAGATTTCAAGTATTACCCTAAAAAAGGAGCAGCACATTTTCAGTGCTGTTTGAAGAATTCAAGGCAGAGAAGGCTGAAAACAGAGCCAGGGAAACTGAGGAAGCTGCATCCCAAATCCCAGCAGGAATCCTTTCTCAGTGAGGTTAAATCCCCTCTCCCCTGCTCTGAATTTACCTGTAGAAATTACCAAAATTTCCACATTTTTGCCCCTAGAGGGGCACAGTCAATTGCCAAATTATCCATCCTTGTGGTGCTGGGGATGTTTGAAGAGGAGCTAAGTCCTTGAGACACAGAATATTAAAAACCTCTTTGACTCTGCTCTGCACACAACAGCCAAGTGAGAAACTAAGGGGGGGTTTTATGTGGAGGGATTTTTTCATGCTGACACTGAGTTGTCTTAAACTTTGCTGTTTGATCAGCAAAATTGCCACAATATAAAATTATAACTCAGGGATATGTGGTGTCACCCAGCCCAGTGTAACAGCAGCATCTTCTGGTGGAAATCTTTTGGGTAGGAATCCTCTTTTTTTTAAGGATAATTTGTGTTTGCAGAAATACACAGAGAAAATAATTCAAAAGATCAATATTTTAGGCTTTCTGTTTGTTCAAGTAGCACCAAGGCATCTGTGCCCTGAGATTTATGAGAGAACAAAACAAAGAAAGAAATAAAATTATATCATTGCATCAGCTCATGAAAGTGTTTTACCATTAATGAATTTCAGAGCAAACCAACTTTTATCAAAGCTGTGCTGGACCCAAACCCTTTTATGGTTCTTTGCCATTTACAGACCCAAGCTTGGAGCTCCCACACTTCAGTTTTGTTTTACAACATTCATTTCACTCCTCATCTATTTGCTAAATATCACAGGACTAAATTCCAGACATAGAAACAAGTTTACTGCTAAAAACAAGCCAAAATCCAAACCTCAACAGCCTTTCAATGTAGCTAAAGCAGCTAAAATTTATTCAAAAGCCATTTATCCTAAAAAGAACGCATCAGCTTTAGAAGAGCAGCTCAAAGAGTTAATTTGAAATAACACAGGGGGAGCTTGCTGAGGAATTCCTTCATCATTTTCTGGTTGCCCAGCTGAACTAACACGGAGGTCAAAGCTGATGCTATAAACACTGGATTCCTTCATCATCATCAGATAAGCAATATTAAAACAAATCCTCTCAAACAGCAGCTAACTTGGAGGGCTGCTAAAAAAAAAATAAATAGAAAAAGGGAGAGCCTTTTTTTTGCCAATAAAAGCCCACAGTCCCCTCTCAGACTGAGAAATGGTTTCTAGCAAACTGTGAATGTAAGAACAGGTTATTAAACCTCCCCAGTTATCCCAGTGCTCCATTCATCCTGGGGAAAATGTCCCCAAACATCCCAACTAGAGAGCATGTCCTAGCATCGCTGTTCTAACTGAAAATCACAAAAAAAATCAAATATCCCAAAATATTCCTACTAGAGAACATGTCCTAGCATCGCTGTTCTAACTGAAAATCACAAAAAATTAAATATCCCAACTGGAGAACATGTCCTAACATTGATTTTTTTTTGTGATTTTCAGTTAGAACACCAAATATCCCAACCAGAGAACATCACCTAACATTGCTGTTCTAACTGAAAATCACAGCACAAAAAATCAAATATACCAACTGGAGAACATGTTCTAATATTGATTTTTTTTTCTGTGATTTTCAGTTAGAACACCAAATATCCCAACCAGAGAACACCTCCTAACATTGCTGTTCTAACTGAAAACCACAAAAAATCAAATATCCCAACTGGAGAACATGTCCCAACATTGATTTTTTGTGATTTTCCATTAGAACACCAAATATCTAAACTGAAGAACACTTCCTAGCATTGCTGTTCAAACTGAAAATCAAATTTCTGATCCTTCCTGCAGGATACAGCAGCTTGGACCACATTTAGCTGAAAGGGGCACTAAAAGACTATCAAGTTTTTATGAGAAAGTGGAAATCAAGAAAGAAATAAATATGTTTTAGGTTTTTTCTGTTCCCGAGCAGGGTCCTTCCAGCAGAGGAGGATGCAGCCTCCGTGTCACTACTGGACATGAAATGAGCACACAGAAGTTTGGTGAGTTCAAGAGATAAAAAGAGCCAATTTTATTTCTGACCTCAAAATATACAGAATTCCAAAAGTGGCAGTGGATTGGAGGATGGAATTGCCACCTCTCCAACCACACTGGTCAAACCAAAATCCATCAATTCTCCCACAAAAAAGAATGCAAAATAATCATTATTTACATCAACATGTGTGAGAACTCCAGTAGAAATACTTAAAGATTATCAGAAGGCTGAAGAAGTTTTATGAGAACTTTAAAACTTTCAAAAGAACTATAAAAGAAAACTTAACACTTTTAAAAATCAGGGCAACACCTCCTCAAGGCAGAGGAGGAAAAGGCAGCAGAGAGATGCTCAGAGCTGCAAGGAACAACCACCCCACATCCCAACTCATTTCCCTGCCTAATTTCCCTGCCCTGCTCCCCTTTCCTTCCCCAAACCAACTCAAGGATTGGAATTTTCACTGCTGGATCATCCCAAAAAAACCTCTGGAATGGGCAGAATCCAGGAGGAAAGCAGCAGGAAGGAAGGGTGGCAGACAATGCAAAAAAACAACAGCAGATGGGATTATTTTAATATTTCAGAGCTAACACCAACTTGGAGAGTGAGGGATTCTGGAAGGAGCTACAGGCAGAGCTTCTTGTTGGTTGTTATCCAGGTAGGAGACAGCTTGAGAGTTTCAGAGGGAAAAATCAGCAGATGTGATCATCAAGCATAAGGGAACAGGAACATTTTGAAATTAATTGCCTTGCCAGCCACAAAAACTTTGTTTTATGAAGATTGTGAGGAAATTTCACTGGATTTGGAAGGGAAAACACTAAAAAGGACTTGTTAAAATACTGCTTTCACCCGTAAGCAGTTCAGAGTTTGGACTTATCCTCCTGCAGGACCAACAATTTTAAGAGTTCTCAACAACAGAAAGGTTAACTTTTGTAGGAGTTATTAAGTCAAGCAAATATGGTCACACTCACCTGAAAAAACAAAAAGTTTTAATGCACTTGAAATGGCATTTTAACATTTCCTTAAGCTGCACACCATTCTCTTCAGGAAAATTCTTGTTTTCTCTTCATAAAGTGCCTTCTATTTAAGTTTTAGAGCAATTTTGAGAAGCATTGCTCAGAAACACCCAAAACTTAAGAACTGAGCAGATTTCCATTTTATTTTTCCCCTTCTCTCAGACATATTTGCTGCAGGAAAAGAAATTAAGACAACACAACCCAAAATGTAGCACTGCAGTGAGACTCAGCTAATTTAAGGAGACTGTCTGTGTATAACACATTTGCCCAAGGAACAGCTGGTTCAGTTGTTTTTCTGACTGAAAATCT